GAGATAGGGAGTTTGATTGCACACTATGATGTGCGCTGACCACCAGGGGGTGATGTGGAACATGGCGGGTGACTGGCAGCGGCGGTGGTGGCGGCAGCAGCAGCAGCAGTGGAGGTGTTGGGGCATTGAGGGAGCCAGGGAAGGGGGAGAAGGGGAGGTGGGGGGGGACCATGCCACTTGTGGGTGGCAAGGGAAGGCGAGGAACCTGATCGGCCCTGATGCCAGCCAGGCCTAGGAACCCTACCCATGCATGAATTTCATGCACCAGGCCTCTAGTTTAAAAAATAAAGTAAAATACGTTTATGAACCAGTGTGTGTGTGTGTGTGTGTGTGTGTGTGTGTGTGTGTGTGTTTAATCCTCACCCAAGGATATTTTTCCGTTGATTTTTAGGGAGAGTGGAAGAGAGAGGGAAAGACAGAGAAAAATTGATATGAGAGAAACACATAGATTGGTTGCCTCCTGCACGAGCACTGACCAGGGCCCGGGCTGAGGAGGAGCCTGCAACCTGGGCATGTGCCCTTGACCAGAATTAAACCTAGGACCCTTTGGCCTGGTCCACAGGCTGACGCTCCATCCACTGAGCCAAACCTGTTAGGGCTGAACCAGTCTTTTTACTGACTTTATCTACATCAACAGTTTTAGCTTCTGAACCCGCAGTAAGCCAACATAGTGTGGGTGTGGGCTACCCAGTGGAGATGGCCGGCAGCGGTTGTCTTCTGGGGTGCCACTGCCACTGCTGTGTCTAAACTAGGGGTCTCACACAGAACAGTCTAGAAGTCAGGCAGGAATGGACCACAGGGCTGTGATTGTAGAACTGTTGCTCACATCAGAGTCCCAAGCACCATCTGTGGCCCTGAAGCCCTTCTGTAACCTATTTATCTATTTGACCTGTTCTTCCTCTTGAACTAACACATTCCATATGTTTAACTGCCTGTTGTGTAGACTAAATTAGGAAAAGAAAAAGAGCTCTTTAAAACTACTGGGAAAAGGGAAACAGGAGGGCTCTTAATTCCTTTATTTAGAGGTTTAATGAACGAGTCCATGTTTTTAAAATAGGTGTGTATGTATATGTATATACACACACAGCTCACAAAAACACTTGAACATACTTTATCTCAGTATTTCTCAGTTTTGGGACTGGGACACAGTAAGATAAGCTGTTGACGTCATCCAGTACACATGTGTTGAACCATATGAATGACGCTATCCCACCTTCTATCTAGACCTATAAAAGGGAAATTTTATATGGTTCAACCCCAAAATAATGGGAACAAAAGTTTCATGCAGCAATATTTTACCCTTGCTTCTTGTGATACTCATTTACTTTAAATGCTGGTTGCAGCACACTAAACTGATTTCATTCACTACCTCTTAGTCTTCACAGCTTCTTAAGGTAGGAACCCTCCCACCCTATTGCACACAGAGGACGTTCATCTCAGGGATGCAGTGGTTGTCCCAGGTAGCTCCTATTAACTACCCCTTCCTTTGTGCTTTAGTCTTTATCTCATTTAATCTGCAGTAAGAACCTCATGGGATGGGGACCAACAATGAGGAATAGGAAGTTTGGAGAGGCCAGACACTTGTTTCTGGCACACGGCTAAGAAGAGAAAGATTCCAGATTTGAAAAATTTATGTAACAGCGAAGCCGAAGCTATTTTCACGGCTTTGGAGCTAAGGCCCAGAACGAGACCCTGGACCTGGCCTTGCAGCACCCTAGTTCTAACTTTTCTTCTTCGCCTGTGGGCTTTGCAGAGAAGGGCGTGTGTGTGTGTGTGTGTGTGTGTGTGTCTCTGGCTTAAACTTTCTGCTCGGCTACACTTTTTCCCAGGCCTCTGCACTGGCTGAGGGGTGGGCTTTATCCCTGGGACCACCCCCTCCCCATCCCATCCCGCAGCTGGAAGTCTTCACTGATCTCCATCTCTCCTCCCTGCCCCCATCGGGGAGGCAGACTATCTCCCCGGTCTTTTCCAGATGTACGTCTGCCAAAGACCTCCCCCAGTACAGAAGATGATGAATGAGGACTGGAGAGCCGGCCTGGTGGGAAAGTGTCGTCGCCTTGAAAAGAGAAAGAGAAAGGAAGTCGGGGGTCGGGGAGGGGAAGAGTTGGAACGGAGTGGCCAGGGGGCAACCAGTCTGGACACTAGGGACCCAAGCCCCCGCTACCCGGCCAGTTCCTTTGCCTCCCTGAGGAAGGCGTGGGTAAATGCTCCAGTCCCGCACCCCGGCGGAATTGGGGCTGTTATAGCCTTTACTGCGGCCCGCACAATGCACTCAGGAACTGCCCAGTGCTTGTCCCCAGCCCTTCCAGGGCCGGCTCCCAGCGCGCTCCCTCTCCTCCGCAGGACCGCGCTCCAGTCCCTCCTAGGGCTCCTCTCCGCAGGTCCCGCCCAGTCCTCCTACCACTCTGTCCTGGGGGTGGGGTCGCACCGCCTCTCCCTTTCCTTTAAGAGGCGTCGGCTCCGCCCCTTTCGGAGTCGCGGTCTGACGCCCGAGGACTGCAGCGAGTTCGGGATGTTTATGCAAATAGGCGCCCCCTGTGGGCCAATGGAGAGCGGAGGTGCCGGAACGATGGACCAATGGGGCGGGGGCTTAGGGGCTCACCATATAAGGAGCGGCCTCGCCATAAAAGGAAACATTGTATCTCTTTATATGGGGGGGAAGGGTCGGGGGATCCCTCGCCGCCTGCGCGTGGTCCCGGCCCCCTCCACCCGCC